TAGATGCATACCTCACAACACCCTGGTTTAGACAACTTGAAATTGAAATAGTTTTATAGTTGTACACATAATGAAAGAAATTGTGTTATTTCACAGCTGAATTGCATGGTAAGAACCGTAGAACCACCTTGTAGGGAATAACTTTTAATCTTTAACGCCCTAATACACACTCTGTCAAACGGCATGTTTGACCTGCATTCACTTAACCTTAATCCAAACTTTAAATCTTTCAACGGTTTACAAGAAGGTGCTAAATATGTCCATTTAAACTTTTAACCTCTGTAAATAAATACAAAATACAAAAAAGCAATTCGAAAAATAAACCATAAGTAAAGGAACCATCTCAGTGAATAAAGCTATTAATATGCCGTTAACCCGTGTCGCTAACCGAATATTGTGTTTTATAGTAAATTAGACGAATAAAACATATAACGTTGCCATCTCGACCCTGATGCCCATGAACACAAATGACGAGTTTAAGACAAACCATGGCGGAATGGAATTGATTAATGGAATATAAAATTTATTATGTATTGTCAATACTTTTCTGGTTAGATTTTAGCCTAAACACGACATGTGTGTTGGTGACAATTTTGGCAGTCATATCTGAATGACCCAAAAACTGTTTATATTTCTTTAACTTTTGGTATACCTAAATTCGGGCTATTATTTATGGTAGAAAGGTATAATAAAATGACCTAAAGCTTTAAAACATATTTTTAAATATGTTGATGCACCCTAAATTGAATTTGAAGCACCAGGGATAAATAAATAAAAATAGCTATAATGCATGATTTTATTGTAACTAGTGAACTGATAAATATTGTACAATTTATCTAAACAGTACGTTTATGAAAACGTGGTACTTTTCTGATATTTAGTTAAATTAACACTTACCCAGATCTTGGCATAAGCATGACTTAAAATGATCACGGCTAAAACAATTCCGTGCGAATCAAGAATTCTTTATGTAAGAATAGAGCTTTATAAAACCGTAAATGCACCACACATTATGTCTTTATAAGATGGTAGCTATAATCTTTCAATCCAATCCCCTAATTAAGTATACCCCCACCCAATCATAAAAAAATAATAACATAGCAAAACGGTGTTTAATTCTGATCATCTAAATTATCAAATGATATTCGCCGAAGTAGAAACTGAGAAGGGCGTGTTTTAAGATATACATAATGTATCTTACTATTTTTCGCTTATATAATTTGATTTTCAAATACAAGCCATTAATACTTATCTTAGCATTAAAACAATCAACCATTTGTGGTTATATTGAAATCTGTAAAAGACGCATTCTTTTTGAATATATTTTTAAAAAATAATAAGTTAAGTACAACAGTCCAGTAGGTTTTGCTGCATTGGAAAAAACATATTAGTAACGCTTTTTCAACAAGCAATTGTTATACTTTTAGTGATTTGTAGAGAGTGTAATCAAAATGTTATTGTACTGTTTTAAATTGTAGCTTTTATTCATTCATGTAAAACAGTTATTACAATTTTATAATAAAATGTATAAAACACTGAGTTCGAGATTCAAATCACAAATCCATCCAAGCTAGAAAACTGCAAATCCGAATATTTTTGTTTATAAAATATTCACTTTCCATTCAATAAATATTCCAGTCATCTAGTTTTGGATTTGGGGAAATTCATTCTCCTTTTCCCATAAATACAGATTGCCGTGTTATTTAATAATCAAACCAAACAGCATGTAATCAAAGAACGCTTGTATCCGCCATATGTAATATTGTCACGTGACATTGTTATGTTTTGTTTCGCTTGGGAAGCGTTTATTATACATAATAGAACTCCAGTGTAGTAAGCCATAACTATGAACAATATCATGTCCCAAATAAATAATCTAATTTGTAGATCTGCAATTGGTCACATTATGGTCCGAACATTATTTGTATGGCTCTATTTGTTGACAGCAAATACCGCTAATAATTATCTTGGATAAAATACCTCGTTTAGTAAACGAGGCAATTTTACCCAGCCTCGTTCTGAACAAAATACCTCGTTCCAAAAACAGGGCAATTTAAAAAAAAAACACGTTTTGGGACTCCAGAGAAACGAGGTATTTTTTTTACCTCGTTACAACGAAGCAAAATCGGAGCAAAAATTTTGACACGTTTTTGCCTCGTTTGGAAAGAAACGCCGAACGATCCATTCTGAGGTTTATAGTGCTAGTAACCTAAATTTCGTTTAGTCTTAGCAAATTGTTGGTGCATCTCACAGCCAGTTCAATGAAGAAATTTGTCAGGTTACTGACGCGTTATCCTTTTATTATTTTTTAAAGTTTAAGGTTATCTAGACGACCATAGTTATTAATATTCCGATAAATGTTGGATTAACCTATAAATGATGGAAACAACGATCAAATTGATTCGTTTATCACCCAATAATACATTCTACAGTAGATATCGCTTTTGTGGTAAATTTCATAATCTACTAAGGAGATATCGCTTTACATGAATTTGATTGGTCAGTTAGAAAGGAACTACGTTTTGTATTTTCAATGAACAGTTCATTTTGTTATTAAAAGTAACTCTTTTTTTTTTATTAAAAATGAATTATTTTAATTAATTGACCTTGATGGGAACACTGGGTCAATATGAATGAGTTTGCAATGGTTGAATTGCTGTCAAAAAATGAAGTATCACTACGCCGTAATGTAATCAGGTCCAGTAAAAGTGAAGTCTATGGCAAAGAATTATATTTATTGATGTGTGCATGTACGAAAGGATTGGGCGATAAATAAAATCTCCTATTCGTCCTTTTTGGTATCAAAAAATATCAACACTCGTCGATAAAGTAAAAAGAAACTCGGTAGAGCCTCGTTTTTTTTACTTTATCGACTTGTGTTGAAAATTTTTGATATCAAAAAAGACTAGTAGGAGATTCTCTATTTAGTATCAGTATGGTAATAGATATCGGTATGCTCAGGAACAGGCCCATTGGCTCCATCGAAACTTTTTCAAGCCCGAGGAAATTTTATTGGACATCTTTGTACTGCTAAAGGGTGTCGTATTAGTTCGCGTGGACGCCTGTACACGTAACGTTTTAGTGAGAACAAAAGACCTTGATTACCTCGCTAGGGCCATTATGTGCGACACAACACGCTGTTAAAAATACGTCCCATCCTGCTAAGTTGTTTGAGCGCCGTCATTGCACTCTAAATATAGGTCAACGCACAAGTTTAAGAACGTCGGCGATACCTAGACGAAACGATTTAAAATTTGAATCTAAGAATTTTCAGTCATTTATTACTTTGCCCACCCCGGATAGATTTTAATGTTTTCAAAGATCTCACAGCTATTTCAATTTGACTGGTTACTGACACATTATCCCTTTGCTTTACTTTTTTAAGCTTTGCGATGATCACGACAACCACAGTTATCAATATTCTGATAAATTTTCCGGTGAAAAATTTTGGATTAACCTTGTAAACAATGGGAACAGGGATGACATAGATTTGTTTAGTAATAATATGGTATTAGATATCAAGATGAATGCCAGGAATTTTGAGATCAACGACAGAGAAAGTTTGGCTTTCAAAAGTGGATCGCATGCCTATGTTTCCGCAAAGGCGAAAATATATGGCATAGACAACATGTGCTTTAAGTTATGTAACGAAGACGGAAGTGACGAATTGATTACTGATCACAAAGTTGTTTTGAATTATGGTTGGCGAACTATGATTATTTACCATATCCCAAACATGATAATAGACAATCTACAAACTGGTCCAACAATTGTTCACATAGACACAGGTAAAATATATAAATACCGCGCTGGGGTTGTTCAAGGTCAAGACGATGAACATATAATAGTCCACACCAGCATCCAAGATTTATCTGATGCGAGCATGTGTAAAATCATATTTGACGATAACTCAATAGTGCCATGTTGTGGAGTAATAAAACATCAACAGTGTAGCAGTTTGCTGATGAAGATGGTTGAGATACCAGCCTCAATAAATCTATTGACGGTTGACCAGTGGATGAACCAGTTTAACATAACACAGGTAAGGTGTAGTGATTATTAGTATTAGTTGAGTAACTAGAATATTGAATTGTACTGACGTTTAAATTGGTTTGATATTTTAAAAACACTTGCTTAGGACTCAGTTGTGGTGTATCATTTTGTAATATGGATATTACGGTGAATGATACACCTGCTTTAGTTTTCCCATGTCCCAAATGCTAATCCCGTGCATGGATTTTAAATCTTGTATAAATAAATAAATTTATTTATGAGTGTTGGCGACGGCCTTGTGGTCTTGCAGGTGCAAATAAAATTCACCACATTAAGACTCTCTTGGCCTTAAAGGATTGATTTTAATTTTATTTACTGTGATATTTATATTTATGCATGCTGTTTTTTCGGTTTATTCCGTAAAATGCGATTCCATTCATTCATTTATTCATTGTATTGTCGTTGTAGGAGGAAGATGGTAACAAAGATATTCCAAGTTATCAACGTATTAATCAAACCATGGGTGAAACATTTCAGGTAAACCTTATGGAAAACAAGCTCTCTGGAGACTCTGATGCAATGGCTGAAAAGGATGTGGTAATATGTATCGTTGACGATGCCGCAAATTTTAACGATACTGAAAAACAAGGATTGGCTTTCAAACATGGACTGGAGGGTTATGTTCTCTCCATACGGTCAGACATAAGTGACACCAACAGTGTTAATTTTAAGTTAAGTCAAGATAATGGAAGTTGTGAATTAGTTAGTGATTATAAAATTGTTTTGAATTATGGTAGCGGCAATATGATTATTTACCATATACCAAACATGATAATAGATAATCTGCAACCTGGTCCAACAGTTGTTCACATAGATACAGGTGCAACATATAAATGTCGCGCTGGAGTGGTTCGACGCCATGACGAAGAAGATGTAATAGTTCACACCAACATCCAAAAGTTACCTGACGTCACCATGTGTAAGATAATATTTGGTGATAAGTCAGATGTACCTTGCTCTGAGATAAGAAAATATCAAGACATGGAATATAGCAGTTTATTTGTGAAGACTGTTGACATACCAAATTCTGTCAACCTATTGACACTTGAGCAGTGGATGAAACAGCTTAACATACCACAGGTAATAATGATTACTTTATATTTCTGCTTATTATTATCCCTGGACATTAGGCAGATTACTTAAAAACATATTTTGAGGTTCATAAAATATTCGGATTGAGATATGAAGGTGCTGATACTTTGCAGCTGTTTTTTTCTCCATAATACTGATTATTGTCTCCATTTTATCAGATATCTATATTTTTTCTCAAACTATAATAATTTAAAAATATATATATATTACTCCCTTTTTATTGCAAGGGTGGGGGTGGGTGGATTGCCGAATGGTTAGCACGCGCGCGCTGTATCATACGGTCTGTCATTTAGTCATCTGGCGGGGTTTCGATTCCCCGGTTGTACGTGACAAGGAGTAGGGTTGCCTGTCCAACCTCGTGGGTTTTCTCCGGATCCCCTGGTTTCCCCCCACTGCTAAAGACCCCTACTCGCAAGCGAATTATTGAAATAAAATTAAACCATATGTTAGTCCCGAAATGACCTAGTTTGTGTCGAGTGGACGTTAAACCACATTTCTCTCTCTCTTGTGCATACTTTATCACTTCCCTGTAAATTTTACTGGGCAACCTTTTACTGCTAAAATTTGAATCTAAGAATTTTCAGTCATTTATTGCTTTGCCTATCCCGGATAGATTTTAATGTTTTCAAAGATCCCATTTTCCTGGTTACCTAAATTTCGTTAAGTCTTCGCAAATGTTTGGTGCATCTCAAAGCTATTTCAATTTGACTGGTTACTGACACATTATCCCTTTGTTTTATTTTTTTTAAGCTTTGCGATGATCAAGACAACCACAGTTATCAATATTCTGATAAATTTTCCGGTGAACAATTTTGGATTAACCTTATAAGGAATGGGAACAACGATGACATAGATTCGTTTAGTAACAATATGTTAATAGATATCAAGATGAATGCCAGGAATTTTGAAATCAACGACGGAGAATGTTGGGCTTTCAAAAGTGGATCGCATGCCTATGTTTCCGCAAAGGCGAAAATATATGACATAGACAACATGTGCTTTAAGTTATGTAACGATGACGGAAGTGACGAATTGATTACTGATCATAACATTGTTTTGAATTGTGGTTCGCTAAATATGATTTTTTACCATATCCCAAACATGGTAATAGACAATCTTCAAACTGGTCCAACAATTGTTCACATAGACACAGGTAAAGTATATAAATACCGCGCTGGGGTTGTTCAAAGTCAAGACGATAAACATATAATAGTCCAGACCAGCATCCAACATTTACCTGATGCGAGCAAGTGTAAACTCATATTTGACGATAACTCAATAGTTTCATGTTGTGGAATAACGAATCATCAACAGAGTAACAGTTTACTGATTAAGATGGTTGAGATACCATGCTCTATTAACGTGGTTACAGTTGACCAATGGATGAAACAGTTGAACAAACCACAGGTATTAATGCATATTTATATTATTTTTTTTTAAATAAAAAGGAATTATAACTACATGTTTATTGACTGGTGTAAAATATGTATGCTAATAAAGTAACCCCTTTGTTGTCACTTTATATGCTGCAATTATTCAGTTTGTATTTGTTATCTGTCCAGTGATTTCCAGCCATATCATCCATAATTATGTATTTTTGTTTAAAAGTTTACATACGTCAGTCTGTCTTTCACATCGTTTGTTCGTACACCAGAGATCACAATAATCCATATACATGTATTGAAATTGATATGGGTTGTATGTTACTGAAACGAAATGAATGAGGTAATGAAAATGGGTCATCTTTGTTACTAAATCTTTTTTTTAACTTTATAGGCTGCAATTATTAACCTATCTGTATATTGATTGTGTGACCTATTTGTGTGGAAAAGCCTATTGGGTTTCAATTATAACTTACAGCGTTATTGCCCTGTGGTCATAAATTTCAAATTCATTAGCCCAGGCCCTGCAGACAAGTAGGACGTTAAACCCCATTCCATTTTTCATCTATCTTATTCGCACTACATTCAATTATCACTTGATCTTTCTTCAATTTATATTGTATCATGTTACAAGGAAAGCCTCTTGATGTTCAATGATTTATGACCATAATTTCCTGAGCCCCCCACTCCCTTTGTTAAAGAGTCTATGTCCGTCGGTCAGTCCTTCTTGTTGTTAGTCTTGTACATTCTGGCATTACCTTCAGTAGTATACAAGGATAATTTAGCTCTTTTGGACGTATGTTTCGTTGCCTGTTGACCTATCGTTAGGACAGATAAACATGTTGTTTTTGGTTATCCGATTTATTTAGGTTCCTGTACATGTGGATGGTCAAGAACAATCAGCAGTCGTTCATGATACTACAAGGTAAGTGAAGATTGGTTTGACGTTGTTGTGAAAAGAATTTCATCACATTCTGTTAGCATATGTGTCGGAATACAAATTTGTTTAAATAAGGATGTCGAGACAAGTAATACAATTCACCTGGGAACTATTTTATTTCGATTATAAATAAACCAATTAATGGTTATGTTCTTTGGTTATTCTAGTTATATTTATAGTTGTTTTGCTGAATTTAGTTAAACAGGATATTAACAAAAAATGGCAATTGGTTATACTTGTTTCCTTATAAGTTTAAGATCACGGCATTCTTTAAAAGAACACATCTTTTGTGGATTGGATAAATATATGTATCTTGGAACATATATAATGGGCCCCCCCCCCGTATGTCAGTGATGCAGGACGGAGGGCCTGAGAAGGACAGCTGTCTAGTCCTTCGTATGAGACAAAAAAACCAAGGTCCCGTGTATACACAGTGGAATGCACGTAAAAGATCCCTGGGCAGTTGGAATTCGATATAAGAGTAGGCGATAGTGCCGCTGCCCGAGCAAAATTTCCCTCATAGCACACTGTATGGCGCATGCCCGTCAATATTAGCCCAGCATAGGAGCAGAAGAGTAGGACGTTAAACCCCATTCCATTTCATTTTATATAATGGGATATCTTTACGGGCCGAGACTACTACCAATCTATATTTTGATAGCTCGAATATCTTTATGCGACATTCCAATATGTATTTTTAAATATTTTCTTGTGTGTGTCGATTTCTGGTCAGACCTTCCAATGATTTACAAATATTCTATTATATAATGAAAGAATGACCTAATGATAACGCTGGTTGTGGTGTTCGCGTATTTTATATAAAAGCACCTAAACAGACATAAATGATACATTTAATAAAGCTGGTCTTGTTTCTTTATTATTTATATAACAGCACAGAAACAATTATTATCTAATAGGGGTTTATTATTCTAAGAAATATTATTAAAGCTGGACATAGTTATATGAACTCAGTTTGGAAATGGACGTTGATACCTATGTACCATGTGGACTTTTATACCAATGTGCAATGGAACTTACCATGTGTTAATTGTTACACTGAAAAAAAAAGTTAGGTGTCTCTATTTAACAACACAAACTTGTGTTAAAACAACACAAAACTTGTGTTAAATGTTGAAACAACAAAAAACTTGTGTTAAAATGTATCAAACAACACAAAACTTGTGTTGAAACTTGTGTGAAATCTACACAATACTTGTGTTGAAACTTGTGTTGAAATTTCTGAAACTTGTGTTGAAATTTCTGAAACTTGTGTTGAAATTTCTGAAACTTGTGTTAAAATTTTTGAAACTTGTGTTGAAATTTCTGAAACTTGTGTGGTTTCATACAAACCTGTGTATAACCATCATCAAAAACTTGTGTTGTATTTCTATGCAGGACCCCTCTCTTTGCTCTGTTAGACCTGTAAAGTTTGATAAAAGAAGGAAACAAAAAAAAATTTTGTAAGATTATTATTTATTCATAAAATCATAGGAAAAAGTAAATTAATACATCAAAACTAAATAGATATTTGAAATGTTAACAGAAAAACAGAGACTTCAATTCTAATACAAATTATATTGTGTTATATATAATGACCCCCCCCCCCACTTTACCCATCACAAAATAAAAAATAGCTATTTAAATTGTTTTTTGCCCCACACACTTTACCCATCACAAAATATAAAATAGCTATTTAAATTGTTCTTTACCCCAAAACAAGAACTGAGAATATAAAGATATGTACACAGTATCCCTACCCCATACCCCAAAATATATAATTCAAATATATCTAAATTTAATAACATCCAAACTAAGCACTAATAAGATTAATTATGCACTAAATTGAAACAATTTCAAAAACTGAAAAATGCTACAAAATCACACTACAAGTGATTTGTGAGGCATCTAGAAATAACGAGCATACACAGAAAACTAACAAAAGAAAATTGCTCTATTTTGCAGGAGTAATAAAATGATGTAGATCCTTTTCCTCATTAAAAAAAACCCAAACAAAATGAATATTTTATAAATAAAAGAAGCAAAGCATCAAGATTACAGGATTGAAATAAAAAAATATCATATGTACAAAAGATTTATATACAATCACAAGTCATAAGCCACAGTGGTTCAGTGAGCATAAGGCTGTTGGCCGAGAAATTTCAACTGGATTTTCCGGCATAGTTCCCACTTTTCAGTGTTGGATATGGCAAGGGATAATTGGGTACAAGACCAGAATCAAAAGAGAGAAAGACAGAGAGAAATGGGGTTTAACGTCTACTCGACACAAACTAGGTCATTTTGGGACTAACATATGGTTTAATTTTATTTCAATACTTCGCTAGCGCGTTGGGGTCTTTAGCAGTGGGATGAAACCGGAGGTCCCGGAGTAAACCCACAAGATTGGACAGGCGACCCTACTCCTTGTCTACAACCGGGGATTCGAAACCATGCCAGTTGACTCAATGACAGGAGGCCGTATGATACAGCATGCACGTGCTAACCATTCGGCCATCCACCCCCACCCCCCAGAATCGAAACCAACCCAACTGCGTACACTTTGAAGAACCCTTGAAAATTGAATTATTTGAATCAATGACAGACCTTCTGATCAAATGTGTGCGTGTTAACCATTCGGCCCCCCTGGGTACCCTTTAAAGAACCCTTGACAGTTGAAATATTTGATATAAGGGTAGGGTAGAATCACTCTAAGAACACAGAAAAGCAGGATATTAAAACGTATTTCATTTCATAAGCAAGGGAAAGTCACCTTAATGTAGGTCAAGGTTTTTTGTAATTCTGGGTGTATTTGATCTACATTTGGTTTCTAGTAATGCCTATTAAATACTTTATGATTTCCGACCAAATTCTAAGTGATTTATATGTCAGTTTACTTGCTATATTATACATACATATTTGAAGAGAATTAAAATCTAATTGTGTTTTGGAAGAAAATTTAACATTAATAACAAAAAATAAATATTTAAAAATTGGGTCAAATGCATTCTTTCCCAGAAGTATAAAATAAATTGATGCTTGGGTTCTCTTGTTGTTATCATACATCAAATACTCTTTCAAGGGTGTTCCAGCCTAAAAAATAAAAAGTAGGCAATAAGAATACAATGTTTAAATAAACAATTTATTTTGCCACATCGAGACTGAGTCTCTATTTGGTTTCAACTTTGCGTAACGCTTATTGTGTCTTGTCCACTTAAAGACCCAGGCAGATTATTATGCTCAAATCAAATGGGTTAAAAGTCAGAAAAATGAAATGAAATGGGGTTTAACGTCCTACTGTTCTGCTCCTATACTGGGCTAATAATGACGGGTATATGCCACACAATGTGCTATGAGGGAATTTTTGCCCGGGCAGCGGCACTATCATCTATTCTTATATCGAATTCCAACTGCCAGGGGGTCTTTTACGTGCATTCCAATATTCGTCTCATCGGAAGGACTAGACAGCTGTCTTTGTCAGGCCAAGTCAGAAAAAAGTCTTGAGATTTGGGACTGAAGTCTCATAATAGGTCAACTATTCACCCGGTTCATACATGTATTGTCTGCAAATCCAGATTCCCTACTACATCATTGGCAGCACCTATTTACTTGGCAATGTCTAATTATTTTTGGACCCATTCTTATTTGATTTCCATTGACAACAAATTGGATATTACCCTTTAAAATCTATTGAAATCTATTTGAAAAGTAAAATATTGTCCATCATTATTTTACTGCTATTTACTGTAAAAATACACATAGGCCCTATCATAACTTGAAGGAAATCAATGGATGTGATTGGCAAAAATCAAGCATGCCAAGTACTTGAAATAGCTGAGTCCTAGGCATTGCCCCAAGAAGAATAACTAGATTACCAAGCAAGTGTATAAAACTACTTCCTGATTAAAAATACAAATATGTATGTTACTTACATTTTGCCTGATTATCAAGCTCTGTGAGAAAAGTTTCCACAATATGAATAGCCATTTCCAACTGTTTTTATCTTTCTGATGTAGTTAACTGGAAAAAAACATACTATGTATTAGATGACTTAATTGACTCAACAGTTAAAAGATGAAAGTTTTAATTTACAGTCTATATTTTACACAAATTTCTGGAGAGAATTAAAATATAATTGTGTTTGAGAGGGATATTTAACATTAAAAACAAAAATAAAATGCAACTGATAACTTATTAGCTTTTACAATCACTATATTCTTTTTCAAAATTATAAGGAGATCACATGGCTAAGAGGGTACGACGCTGGCTCACTAGCCTGGAGGTCGGGTGTTCGATCCCTGAATTGGCTGAGAAAGTTCATCCAGATTTTCCGACGTGTCTTCCCCTTGTCAGTGATACAGGATGGATGGGATAAAAAAACGAGGTCCTGTGTACACATTGGCGTGCATGTAAAAGATCCCTTGGCAGTTGGAATTCGATATAAGAGTAGGCTGTAGCGCCACTGCCCGGGCAAAATTTCCCTCATAGCACACTGTATGGTGTATGCCCGTCTTCATTAGCCCAGTTTATGAGCCATTATAGATTAGCCAGAATCCTAATTAAAATAAACTCTGTAATTATATTAGAGAGACATTGTTTCATAAATTATTATCTATTGTAAAGTTATTCCAGTAGGGTATTAGGGATTATATTGTAACTAAAAACAAAGCTAAGGTATAAAAGTCCTAAAAATTGTATATATTAGAAAAAGGCGAGTTAACCACAGGCAGGCGGCAGGACATACTGAAGGGCAGGTCTCTGATATAGTGACTAGTTATTTCTTAGATGCTGTTCCTTATTAAGTTACCTATCCTGTGGGTCAGTATTATATGTATATATTATCTTTGTTAGATATTGTTACAGAATATAAGATTATACTAAGAGAAGTGAGTTATTGAATTATTGTATGTTCAATCGTACACCTCCAACTAGATTGAACATACAACCCATCGTCGAAGGTTGGACTATAAGTAGGTCCATAAACCCTGGATAGTATGATAGTATGTGGTTGAGTTGGCAATAAATATACTTTCTACGGTTCACAATTTTTAAATAAATAACTTATTTTTCCACACGTTGAGTCTGTATTTTGTTTCAACTTTGCATAATACTTATTGTGTCTTTTCAAGTTACAGACCCAGGTAGATTATTATGCCTCAATGGGTCAGAAGCCAGAACAAAAGTCTTGAAAAAAAGACAAAATGAAAAAATAATCATTAAATTTACCAATTATCTCCACTAAGGCAGTGGTGAATACAGTATTGCAAACAGTATTACAATATGATATTAATTATATTTTACAAATTCATGCATTTGAACGCTTTATAATAATGATTATGAAAGGGTGTAACATTGCATCCATCTTATAGTTTTGAAGTCATATAGGTCTTTAGCAGTGGGAGGAAACCGGAGGACCTGGAGAAAACCCACGAGGTTGAACAGGCAACCCTACTCCTTGGCACGTACAACCGAGGATGACAGGCCGTATGATACAGCACGCACATGCTAACCATTCGGCCATCCACCCCCCCCCACCAAGTGTATAGAACCAGTTCCTGATTCAAAAAGCAAATATGCATGGTACTTACATAGCCTTTGTCTGATAAGCAACCTCTGTAAGAAAACACTTCCACAATATCAATAGCCCTTTCCAGCTGTCTTGATCTTCCGAGGTGGCTAACTGAAAAAAATATGCAATGTATTACATTAGTTGGCTTAAATTGACTAGACAGTTTTGATTAAGTCAAAAAATGTTAATTTAACTACATTTGTTTTGTTTCATGTGTTGGTTTGCTTTGCCACAGATGAGACAGTCATATCTAACTAAGATTCTGTCTGTGCTCATACATGTACGTGTACAGTTTTACTATACTAAACTGAATTTTAGATTTCAAAATAGCATAACAGCAATCTTTTCTATAAGAATTGAATAGTTACCCACCAAGAAAAAGCTGCTCTATCATCATTTTTTCCAGCCATTTCTTCTTCCATTTTTTTACTTTTATAATTTCTTTTGTTACATGATCTTTTCCTGGGTGATTTGCATATACATCCAATATTGAAACTGAAAAAAAAATAAATACATGATATGTAATTTACCATTAAAGCTACCATACCATATATACAAACTGTGTGATTTGAAATTGAAACTAATGTATCTATATGTATCAAAAATTTTAATCCCAAGGAACTACCTAAGCCGTAAAAATCTATTTTTATAATCCTTGTTTGTCACATGGTTTCAATGTCGCAGTAATTAGAAGACGACCATGGTGACTGAGTGAGTTAGGTGCTGGAATACTAGCATGGAGGCCACAGGTTACCTCTTGGGGTTGACCGAGAAAGCTAATCTTGATTTTTCAGAGTGGTTTCCCCTGAGATCCAATGTACACATTGGCGTACACATAAGAGTTCTCTTGGCAGTTTGAATTCGCTATGAGAGTAGGCCATAGTGTCGCTGCCTGGACAAACATTTTCTCTTAGCACACTGCATTAGACCAGTCGGAGCTGAACAGTAGGACGTTGTCTTTAAACCCCATTTCATTTCAGGTAATCTAGTATTTTCCTAGTAAGATTGAAGTCTCTCTACTTTCTTTATATGTAAATATCATATTTGAAATAAGCCATACTTTTATTCAATATGGGGTGGGGCTGGGGGGAATGGTCTAGTAGTTAATGCATTCACATGAAATCACAGGGTCTGTCATTGTGTTAAGTGGCATGGTTTCGATTTCAAGGAGTAGAGTCGCCTGTCCAATCTCTTGAGTTTTTCTCTGGGCCATTCGGTTTCCTCCGTTTGCTAAATACCCATACCAGCAAACGAATTATTCATATCAAATTTAACCTTACCTGTCCTTTTTCCCGAAACGACCTAGCGTCTGTAGGCTAAGTAGAATGGAACAGTGTGCAGGGAAAGGGTGGAAAAGGAAGAAAGCTAATCGTCGTCGTAGTTGATTACCGGTATGCATATAGGCATAGCTTGGACTACTTGATTCTTCAAATACAAGTACACGTAAGGCCTTGTTTATGTCATTTTTCTCTCTCTGTTGCATGTAAGTGTCATATAAATACTTTACTTGGGATTGTATGTTCACATACACTAAGGCCGTGTTGAATTGATTCCTTGTTTCTCCTCGCCCGCGCGCTTAGGTCGAGGACCCCGAAAATCGTGCGCTTACGTTTTTAACACAAAAAAAAAATATTCAAAAAATTACGTTAATAACATCTAAATAAAATTCTACCAAACATCAGAAGTCAATTCTCGTTGTTTATTCCTCGTTACGAACTAAACCTGCGGACAAGACAGAAAATAGGCATTGCACCGAATAAACAAATATCAAATCAAGTGAATGGATCCGGTTGATAATACACATGTAGGGGCCCGCATACTATGGAATAAGTTACACTGTATATGATTGGATGAATTCCTCAAAATGGCGCGTGTAGCAGTCATTTCGGCTAATGAGAAAGCATATTATAAACTGTAAGACAATCGCTAATATTCAACCGCGAACCTGAATAATCAATTTTTCATTGGCTAAAATTATAACACATGTCATTATTATTCAAGTATTACCCAATCATATCTTGTGTAATAAATAACGCACGCCTTACAAAATGGTGAGCTATGCCGGGACATAGGTAAATTCGCGTACCGGTCGGCCTAATTTATTGATGTTCAAGGAAATAATAGTGGCCCCGTTCGCTCGTTCGTTCGTTTCTGGAGTTTAACGAACGAACGAACAAACGGGACCACTATTAGTTCCTTGAACATCAATAAATAAATTAGGCCGACCGGTACGCGAATTTACTTATCTCGACTCGACTTTGGTGGTTATTTCCAGCACTTTCACGTTCGATGATATTATCGAAACCATCTATAACTCAACAAGCGAATCAAATATCGTCTAACTGGAATGTTTCCATTGTATTTTAACACAAGAATACGGAAAATTTATATCAAAATATGGTTATTTCATTTTTTAAAAAGTTAAACAAAGAAGCCACTTGTTACCAAATTTTAGTTTGTTATTAAATTTATTTAATTAAATATTATCTGTGTTTTTATTCCTACCAATAATATAACTAGATTATTTATAATATTATTAAAAAATGGTACACAACCCTCAGACTATATAGGTATTATGCCAGACCACTTTGTGTTTTGAAACCCACTTTGTGTTGTGTTTACCGCACTACCGCACATGATTGCCTGAGTGGTGGCAGGAGAAACAAGGAATCAATTCAACACGGCCTAATCATTGTAGGACATTGGTAAAAAAAAAATAGAAAATACAAAAATTAAATGAAATTGTTACCAGTTTTTCTTCAAATTCCAATTCAATGCCAAAATGGAGTCCTTGAACGGTAAATTCTCAATACGGTAATTGCTGTAACTGTAAGGTGGAATGAGTCATATCATCACTGACTGGAAAAAATAATGAAACTATAGAGAAACTTCCACAGACTGATTCTAGTTCCATTATTTATTATTTATTAACTGTGACTGAATCAGGAAAATAGGGGCCTAATAATATTCCACAGAGTGACAGAGTCAGAGGTTGAACGGAGGGTTTGGGGAAAATATCTGCTTATTTGATTTAAGGTTGTTTTTTTAAACATAAATTAGATTACAATTCAACTAACACAAAAGTGTAAAAAGATTTTTTCTAGTCTGTGCCCGCGTTTATGTCTACTCTTGGCAAAATCTTTATAATATAAAAAATCATGAAACAAGAATCAAAATGGCCGCCAATCCAATCCAACCTCCCAAGATATAATTTCAAAACAGATTCTTACCTGCTGGTTCAAGTCGAGCCGTTTCTGGTTTAATCATAATGTGATTCTGTAATGTACGTATTTGAACAACATCGTAGCGCCGAACAACTAATGTTAATTAAGCACGATTTCAGAAAAATTGAACAGATTTGATAATAACATGCCGAAATTTTTTCCCTGTCCCAGCCCGCCATTTTAAACATGAACTTCCGGGTTAAATTGTTGGAGTTTTTTTTAAGGAAACGAAATACTAATATTATACACAAAAACAATATCGATGCTAAATTACATACATAGAGGATATTTGTCGTTTTAGAGTGAATAACATATTTTATTTCATCGAGAAGCAAGAAAACTTATATTTTCACGAATGCGTAATGTTCTATTTATTTTATGATTTTACAATCATTTTAGGTAAAAACAACTAGCCAGTGGAATAACACTTTTATTTCACTGATAAAACGCGGTATTCCACTACTGATCATAAAATAAATGGTATTATTTTTTTTTATATAAATATTCACAAACCTGCGGTCTTTTATTCTCTGTGACCATTAGCTTACATTTGTCAAACATATCACTGCTCAAGAATCATTTCAGCACGCTGTTAAATGGTAAATGAATTGTGTGAAATCAATTCATTTAATGTCCGGTTGCACAGAGATGATATCGCAGACAAACTGTAGCCTATAGTACGTTGATTTTATCAACCAATCACATTAAATAATAGTTTTACTTATTTTCTTGTCAATGCATTTGGAGTCAATTGTTAAAATCACACCGGGCATGAGCGCTCAATAGGCCTTTGATCTACCAGTTTATTGGGCCCATAAAAAATCAACAACTTTATTTTAACTACAGACATCTTAACACCAATTAGCAATCAAGTCTGGCTGGCCATCATGTCTGAGTAAAAAATACTTTTCTTATACTTGTGGACGCCCGGATTAAGACTTTGTATGGAGTTCAAATTTTAAAAATAAATATATGTTGACGGTACACATTACTTGTGTTAATTATATGAAAAACCCCACAAGATTTGTGTTAATGCATTAAAAAGAACACAAGTTTGTGTTAATGCAATGCAAAACAACACAAGTTTTGTGTAGAATAATTTTCACACAAGTACTTGTGTTGAGATCCAACACAAGTTTTTTTTCAGTGTAGTAAAATAAGTTACATATCTCACGTGATTATATGAATACATACAATATATCTATTAGAAGACATGGAGTAACGCAAATGTATAATCGGATTTACAACATGCAAAACATAACTGATATTTCTGTTTTAGAAAGACGATATATAATGTATTAGCCCATTACAACTGTTCATCTGTTATACAATCGTGAGAAAGAGTAACTTGTTAATCCTTATCGGGATTTAGCATCTGACTGGGATGTGTTGTTCTTGTCTGTTTGCCAATATTATAAATATAATGTTTTCTTTCTCGTCTTGAGTAGCATCAAATCAAACGAACGGGGCCCTATGACTGGTGAGGATCTGAGACGTATGGAGGAAGTTAAGTTGAAACTCATTGATGGGATCAGTGATCCCCAACCTATATGTGACTACCTGGCCGATGAAGGTATACTTTTACCTGAAGATAAACATGCGATAGACATGGGAGACTCACCAATAAAGAAAATCATCAAGCTGTTAAACCTCCTTATTAAAGAATATAAAGGAAGTTTTCCAGTCTTTGTGAAGGGTCTGAAAGAAACACATCATTATGGTTTGGCTAAACTATTAGAAGGTAGGTTTATATATTTATTATTCTAAGTTGACTTAAATTGATATAATGTGTAGTGTATATCATATGGTTTAATACCCTGCATGCATTTAGATGCATTGGAGGGTTTACTACATTCATTTGTACATGCTACAGTTCATGCTCTCATTAGGTCCGAGGTCTCTTTATGTAAAATATTATTTGTTATAGATGACATAGAAAGTGAATATCGCGTACAAGCTATGTGTTGTTTAATATATGTCACGTATTTAAATATATATATATATATATATATATATATTTGAATTCCCAATTAACTCTTCTGGTGACGTGCTTATCTGTTTTTGTGATGTTGTCGATGTTGTGAAATATACATGGCATCTGATCCTTTGGCCCAAGTTGGCTTTATTTAAACTTTGTATTTGTTGTAGATGGTCCAGAAAGTGAAAACCTTGTACAAACTTTAGAGGAAGATATCAACCAATCACTATTAGTCACTGAAGAAAAGGTGGCAACTTCTAAACAACTGACAGTTAAACATGTAGATAAAAGTAAGTACAGATATAATAAATTATGGAATGCATTATGTCCACCCATAAGATGTTCGATGAGGCTACAATTTGCATTAGAGCTTTCATGTGAGGCGTTGATAAGACGCACCATTTTCGGCGTTCTGCAACCTTCCGTTCTAGAGTTGTGACAGACAGGAAAAATATGAACATTCCGAGAAAAACTCATAAAAAAATGATTAAATTCCAGTCTTTATCATGGTTAAAATCACATCAAATATACATCTTTGCGTTCTAGGATACACATAGATTCATAAACACGCTATGGCACGACATTTCAGCGTCTAAAAGTAGCAAAAAAGGCGGTAAAAAGATGACGATGTTATACGGACCTTTTCCGTATGAAAACTGTTCGATACGTACTACCGTATAAGTGTGCCTTAGTACGTATGAGAAATACACACACATTGATCACGTCACGAGCAAAATCGATACGCATACGTGATACGGACCAGGAATTTACGCTTGCCAAAGGTTTCTATTGATTTTATACGTCCGTCATAATTTTCATCCGATTTTGACGAAACTTGACATATAGGTTTTTATCCCAAAGATTTCGGTTCTTGTATAATGTCATGTATCGGACCGCAACTTCTTGGATTTTGGCCCCTGTACGAAATATCTCGTTTTAGCTTGTGCACACTCTACAGGTCATAATTTTTCCGATTTAGATGAAACTTGAAATGTATGTTTCCCAGAATCTCAGTCCCTGTCGATATTCCCGCATATCGGACAGCAACTTCATGTATTATGACCACTGATTGTGCGAAAAATCGCATCGTCCATTTTTATTCGATTGCGTACTGACCCGGCCTTGGAGTCCTCGAGCATATTCGATTGCGTACTGACCCGGCCTGGGAGTCCTCGAGCATCGCGAACATCAAGTCTCACCATGTCATTATGGGTGCCCCTCAGGGATATGGCACCCATACTAATATAGGCACGTTTGTCGTTGGCTTCGTATTGCGTCCATTGGTGAAACGGCACCGAAGGCGCCCATCGGGGGTACCGAATCTTTCAAGGGGGGAGAGCTGCCCCCCCCCCCTTTTGCCCCCCCCCTTTTGCCCCTACCGCTAGCTACGGGCCTTGATCTTCCATTAAGTCAGCATGTTTCATGTTGGGTGTTCCGAGCATATATCACAAAGTCATTATGGAATATGGTGTGACTGACGTGAATGATTTAGATCCTAATATTCACCTGTTTGCCAATGATACACGGATATACATGAAATAATATCTGGAAGATTTTACATCCCATCTTTTGAAGCCAGGAAATTGTTAGAGCCTGTGTCTGCGAAAGTGTTAACAGGCGCCACTTAATCTGTTGTTGAGACTAGAAAGGAGATCAGGCTTTTGTATAATATTTTAAAATTGAAAAACTTATGGCCATTTTCAATAATTAGTTTTTGTTTATTGCCATGTAAGTGCATTACTAATGGATAAGCTTATGATTCCAGTGCAACAAACACATTCAACTTATATCTTCCTTAAAAGACTATCTCACTGTTTTGACCTCAAAAAACAGCACGTCTTTTACATTAACTGAATCACTAATGCAAGTTAGGGGGTTGGTGTGGTGGTTAGAACGACCCGTTACTCCTTTATTCATTTTTATAGTTACTTATTCACGCATACTGTATTATATTCTTGAAGTATCAAAAGTAAATGATATAGCAATAATATATGAAGCAAATTTATACGAGCTTTTTGCTTGTTTTTGTATCATATATTTAAAATTGTCATGTTATATTTGATATTTTTTGAATAAATATTGCTTTAAGCAAACACATTTTTAACATTCGCTCAGTTATTAATTACACCATAAACGTGAATCCAACACGGTAGTGTTTCCCTAATCTCACCTCACAGAAATTTTCCCTTACCTTCAATTTTCACCGTGAATAATTTCTCGCCGCATCTGACACAAGCTTTGAAGAATCCAACACTATTGTCAAGTAAGTTTTTTCGATTAAAACAAAACATATAAACTTAAAAACTATAAACTTCTTTTCAGAGTGGTTAAACGAAGAAAGAGAGGCAGACACAATTACAGAACATACATATACTATAATCAATCAGTATGTATACATTGTATTTCTATTTAATGTAAATTTACCAGATATATTCAGGGACAATTGCGCACAGGCTTGTGGGACAGAACTGATTGTTAAATATTTACCTAATCTATTATGGCAAACATTTTCACCAAATTAATTGATTTGATTAAGAAGATCAGGGACAAATTTTCAATGTTTGTTGTTTGTTTGGCCCGTTTATGTTTATAACATGCATATGCTGAACAGAGACTGTGTTACAGGAAATGACCCCCACATTATTTCAAATATTAAAAGATAGTTATTGTTATGTGGTGAATTATGATTTGAATATAGTGCGACCGCCATGAAAGGTTCCCCAATCCTTATTTCAATAAGTTATATCAATAAATTTAGGAATTTCTCGAATATTTTTTTGATCTCATTCAGTTTATTTTTGGATGTATTGTAAACAAATATATTGTAATATATTACCGACCGTCTCATTTCGAACAGCAAACACAAAATAAACGGCCAAATAAACATAGCTTATACGTAGCTCAAAGATTGTCTACCACTAAATAAGCAGCCTATTTAGCATTAAAAGAATGAAATTATTGTAGCTGGGGTCTGGTTTCCAGATAGATATTCCATGATAATATTTTTATACACCCACATTTTCAAATGGACTAATTTTGTCGTAGCTCCTATACATTGGGACATCTTTTTGTCCGTTCACATTTGTTTGTGGACACTCTGCGGGTCACAATTGTTATCCAATTTTGACGAAACCTAAAATATATCCCAAAGATACGGTTATTCGTGATACAGGCATGTATCGTGCTGTAACTTCATGCATTATGACTCCTGTGTGTACGCAGAACTGTGTTTTTTAGCTTGTGGTACCTCAATAGGTCACAATTTATATCTCATTTTGCAAAAACTTACAACATATCTTTATTACCCAAAGATCTCGGTAACTTCCTGGATTGTACGAAAATCACGTTTTTAATGTGTAGCCGATCTAGAGATCAAATTGTTATTTGAATTTAAAATCCGTTCAAACATATTACCGTTACACAATAACTGAGTTCCAATTTCTGGAAAATCAGACAGAATTTCCCATCAAAATGGAAGCTCGCCTTTTGCGTAAATAATCAAAAAGCAATGAAAGGAATCGTATATACAATAATTTTTTAAATGATCTCGGATGAGATTCGATTTTTAGTCCAGTGCTACACTATTTGTTCTTTATGATGATAACACCTGGTTTAACTTCATATGATACTTTTATTGTTCTTCAAACATATCATGTACAAAACGTCTTATAGTTAAAGACTCCGTAATTAGCTTGTGTTGAGGGAGCCATGGTCCTAGCTTGGCTTGGCACCCTTGAGTGCCAACTCCCAGCTAACTTACATGACCGAATTCCGATCTTAACTCACTTTCTATCAATTACATCTCTGCTTATAATCCCTTTCTAGACAAAGGATGATCGAAGAGATTATACAGCTGGCTATATTGTATCATAGCAGACTAAATGTTTATTACAGATTGCTTTACAAGACAAAACGCGTTGCATAACATGGGCCAGCTATATGTTTATATTATGGTAATGACTAATGAGTGCCATCTGGACAACCATGGGTGTCAATAGTCAACATAAGGATATTTTAATTAATTCCGCTTTTATGTGTCAAGATATGGTATGATAACGTATCCATAACATACAAATTGTGTAACACCAGGCAAGATAGCATAATAGGTTGTGATTTAGCCCCGAAAATCGTTTCATCTCGTCCCAGCAAATTCCGGGTGAAAATCTGACGCTTTGTTACAAAATTCAAACGGTAGGCCGTCACTGTCGCATACATTTCTGTTCTGATGCATTGCACAATACGTCTTGCACTCGAATTACGTCTCGAACTATATTTGTCACGTGTAGCCATAATCAGGTGAAAAAATTAAATTCTAAGCCAATCAGAAACCATAAAAGCAAAGATCGTCATAGGTCAAGGGTCAATAGCTAAATAGACCAGGGAATAACTTTTATGAGACGGAACACGTTGGGTTGTTTACATTTGTCAGAGAGAATTTTCTGCAAATATGCCAGGATTCTTGGATAATACCACCTGTTAAATGTTGCATTGACACGGTAAAGACGACTTACCCTTGATCTGTGGCATAAATATGGTCAATAATTGGGAAATAGCCCCAATGATTGAATAAATCTTTTATTTTCTGGAACAAGTATTTCTTCAAAACTATTTCAGTGAAACAATATCCAAGAGAAATACTGATGCTTGAAATACTGATTCGGTCTTATAATTATATATAATGTTAAGAAATAAGAAAAATAATAATACCATGTGATCTGATCGATACAATTAATAATAATTCACCTTCATCAATTTTACTATTTTTTTAAAAAGAAAACAATAGACTTATTATAAGAGTATAGAGGAAGATAAATGGGGTTTAACTTCCACTCGACACAAACTAGGTAATTTTGGTTCAATTTTATTCCAATAATTCGCTTGCGTGTAGTGGTCTTTAGCAGTGGGGGGAAACCGGGGGACCCGGAGAAAACCCATGAGGTTGGACAGGCGACCCTTCTCCTTGTCAAGTACAACCGTGGAATCTAAACCACGCTAGTGGACTAAATGACAGGTCTTATGATACAGTGCGCATATGCTACCCCATCCTCGGTTACCCAGTGTACTGATTCCGTTCTACTCCACTATACCTTGGGTTAATCCATAGGGTTTCGACGATTTCAAATTATCTGCCCTGGCCTAGAATGAAGCTACAGTCTACGAACCAATCAGAAAACAGTTTACTGAATGATTTATGTAAATAATGTATATATTTATAATTTATTTATATTTAATTGTATTATCAAAATCTGTAGTATGTGTTGTTGATTTCAAATATGTATAACATTTATATGTTTGACTTTTGTTATTATTATTACTAATCTTTCTTTGTCTGAAATATGTCATTCTGTTATGTTTATTATTATTGAAGTTATACTTGGTATATCACCTCGGTGGAAGCGGACGTAAAATACAACTAACCATCATCATTCACAATAACTTGTCTACGTGGACATAAAATTCCGGGAAAGAACGATTCTAAATAAAACTAATGACCCTACATTATTATATGAACGTCTGGTCGTCATTAACGTAATATATAACGTTCCTTTTCAAATAACAATTTATGGGATTGGTCGATAAAAATAGCAGAATCATCAAGGGCGGATAACCTGAAAACGTGTCTCCCCCATAGATTAACCCAGGGAAAAGTGGAGTAGAACGGAATGAGTACAGTGGGTAACCGAGGATGATGCTACCCATTCGGCTACCCAACCCCCTATAAGAGAGTATAAGATTACCTTTATTTAAAGAAAGAAATTAAAAAAATAAACAAATGCAATTATATAAATGTCCTCGTACACAACAATACCATACACCACTAGTATTAATGAAAACTGTATATAATAATAATAATTATAATAACATCATGATTTATAAAGTGTATTAATACTGGAGAACGGTTTCTAATGTGCTGTTCAGGTTTTTTTACAACATTTATTTATATTGTGCTTTATAAACGCTTAATTACAAGGGTCCCTTCTGTTCACAGATCTAAGTACATAAATCCATCAATGAGGAATCAGTATGGAGGGTGTCTTAAAAAGATATTTCCATTTATTTATGTATAATTCCGGAGATATCTCAATCTCCAATTTAGCATGTTCTACTAAAAAGCTTTCATACTTATTAATATTCAGTATTTCGTTTCGTAGTTTAGCCCGGTATATATAGAACTTAGTTAAAATAATTACATGATTAATGAAGATCCATTCAGTATTATTTATATAATCTGGTTTGTTAGTTAAACCAAGATGTTTGATATGTGTTTTTATATCTATATTTATATTGCTGCGATCTAAAATGGTATGAAAATGATTCCATATTATTTGTGAAAAAGGGCAGAAAACAAAGAGATGTTCTACATTTTCTATATTAGATTCACAGAAAGTGCAGAGTGTGTTATCTACTTTTCTAATTTTGAATAATTTATCATTTGTGAATATAATCCTATGGAGATATTTGTATTCAAAGCTTCTCAGTTTTGTACTAAGACATACAGTGTTTATTATTTTAAATGTGTTTTCTACGTCTAGATCGCTTAGCTCGGTATTTAGAATGTATTCCCATTTTGCAATGGCTTTTGGCCTGCTAAACTTTGCTTTTATCCGGCTATCATAAATATCTTTTGAATCCACGTTGTGAAAACCGGTATTATATATTTTGTTAAAGTTAATATTTATATCTTCCAAAGGAGTTATATTACAATTAAAATTGGTATGTATCGCACTTTCAAATTCGTTCGGTTCCTGTACATACCTCAAAATACATTTTTCTATTCCATTTAAGATAAATTGATGTTTTTCTAAATATTGAGCATCGATCTTATTTATTTTATCAAAATATTCACTAACATACCAAATATTCTTGTTAAAAAAAACTTTTAAAAATATAATTTTATTATTAATCTTTATATTTGTATTATTCCAAATAATTTGATTTTTAGCTTGGACAATGTTCTTTATATGTGTTGTGTAAATTTTATACCAGTTGGCATAAAGGTTTTTATAAAAAGGAATGTTTAAATTTAGCTTTTCTGGAAAGTTGCAAGCAGGTAATAAATTTCCACCATATTCAGCCATAATGAATTCATATGGTATGAGCCATGTTTGAAAGGGTGACTGGTATATTTTTTTAATCCAAAAAATGCTATTACATATTAGGAATTCTTTTAAGTCAATCATTTTTAATCAGCAATTTGTATTGTTCTGTATAAGAATATCTCGCTTTATTCTATTAGGTCCGTTCCATATAAATTTGTAAAATATTGAATTTAGTTTTTGAATAGTAGAGTCCGACACTGGATTAACAGTTGCCGGGTAAAGAATTTTTGAAATACAAAATGTTTTAATTATTTGTATTTTTCCAATTAAAGATAATTTATGTTTATCCCATATTTTTAATATTTGTTCTATTTCATTTATCTTATTTGTAAAATTTAACTCATCAGTAATATGAGTGTCTTTTGAAAAATGTATCCCGAGAATTTTTATGACTTTTTCGCATAAAACTATACCGGTTGATTTTACTTTTTGCATTAAATTCATATCACACCTGTTTAAATCTATAGCCTCTGTTTTATTAACGTTAATTATAAGTCCTGAGACTAAACCAAAAAGTCTCAGTATCTCAAACAAATGACGCGCAGAGCTAAAATCTTTTAATAATGCCGTTATATCGTCAGCAAAAGCTACAACTTTTATGGATTTACGTCCAAATATTATTCCATTTATATTTACATCGTCTCTAATAGCGTATAGTAACAGTTCTATGATTAAATTAAAAAGATTGGATGACATTGGATCGCCTTGTCGAACACCCCTTTTTACATCAAAATAAGGGGTTGTAAATCCATTGTTTATTAAACAACAGGTGATATTCTTCTAAAGGGTTTTTATCCATCTAATAAAATTACGCCCGAAACCGTACGATGATAAAGCTTTGATTAAAAAATCATGATTTATGCTGTCGAAGGCTTTTTGGAAATCTATAGCTAAAAGAAAGCCTATTATTCTTTTTTGTTTTGCAAGATCAAAACAATCGGAAATAATACGGGTATTTTCATGAATGTGGCGACATGGTATAAACGCGGATTGATTAGGGTGTATTAACTGGTTCAAAAATGGTTTTAATCCGTTCGACAAAACCTTGCTCACCAACTTCACATCGACATTAACAAGCGTAATGGGCCTCCAGTTAGTTAAGCATGTTCTATCTTTATTACCTTAAGGAATGAGTTTAATAACTGATTGACGTTGTGTTACGGATAAAGATTCTTCTTCAAAGATACAGTTATATGAGTCTAATAATAATACATAAATATCAGACCAAAAATGTCGATAAAATTCAATTGTGATACCATCGTTTCCTGGAGATTTATTTATTTTAAACGCGTTTAAGGCCTTCTGAAGTTCGAAGTAGTCAATTTTGAATTCAAATAAATCTTTCTGATAATCATTTAGCCTTCCTACAGGCCTAAAATTTGTTATAAAATTACTTTCCCTTTCAAAACACGAATCTTTCGACGCATATAAGTTTTTATAAAATAAGAATATTTCTCCCGATATTTCAATGGGGTCAAATATAATAGAATCGTCAGATTTTTGGAGCTTTTTTTATTGTAGTAGCACACTTTCTTTCTTTTTCTAAGTTTGGAAATAATTTTGTGTTTTTTTCACCGTTTTCATACCAGTTTTGTTTGGACCTAATAATTGCTCTTTGTGTCTCATCAAGGTAAATGTTGTCTAATGATTGCTTAACCTCGGTATATTGATCATAAAGTTTTTCGATAATTTTGTTGTTACTAGGCTCCTGTTTACTGATAAGGGATTCAAGCTCGATCAGTTCCTGAGTTAAGCTATTTTTTATAGCTTTTTTAAATTTGTGTTTCTTTTTGGAATATTCTATAGAAAATTCCTTTATCTTAAATTTAATGAAGTCCCATAAACCATTTTTATTTTGTTTGTCCAAATATTTACTTTTCCATATCGGTATAGATGATTTTATCAATTTAGTATATGTTTTGTCTTTTGTTAAACGCTTATTATTTTGATTTAAAATTCTGAATATGTCTAAGAGATTATAATGATTAATTATATTGAAAATGGCATTTTGGCCTTTTCGTTTCAGTTTGTAGTTTCCGCCATATCTATCAAGTTTAACATTTAGGATATTATTAAAATCTCCGCCAATTATCATTGAGAACGAGTCAAGTTCACCACATAGCTGCTGTAAAGATTTAAGTAATCTTGTATAATAAGTGTATTGGTCACTGTCAGATATAGGACTATATGTATTGACTAAAACTAAGATATTATTATAGATACTTATTACTAAGATGTTGAAATAACCATTTTCATCAGATTGGTTTTTAAGAGTCATTCCACGAGAAAACCATGCAATATCATGCAGATGTTCGAAGGTGGGGGTCGGCCGTTTTAGTTCATATTCATAGGGTTTGGTAGACCAATCGAGCCTACTCCCCAGCCAAAATCGCCGATTTCAGAAATCAACCGTTTCCGAGATACTGGCCGATTACGTTTTTCGGCTGATTTTTGCCATTTTTAAGCGAAAATTTAGCTATTTTTGTCGCACTACTACCGCCGTTACATGGCCATGGAGAACTAGGTTTTGGTTGTTCGTGATGGTCGGTGTCTTA